CTGGTGTCTGCGTGGCCGTTTCTCTCAGATCTCAGTCCTCTCTCTGCTGCAGCTGTGCCGGGCCCAACAGGCCCAATGAACCTGGGCAGTCCTGGAGGGATGAATTCTGTCCAGCGGGCGCCCCAGGAGCAGGACACTGCAGAGCTCTCCAAGCCCCACCACTGCGGCCATTTCCAGTCAGGTGGCAGTGGCCCAGTGTGGGCAGCCACTTGCCTAGAAAGCCGGTGAGGGCCAGTCCCCTACATCACTGCTCTCTTCACTGTAGTTCCAGCCCAGTTTGAGTTCCTTTGTCCCCTTCTTAAATAGGATATTTGCAGAGGCACAGATTAGCTTGGCCCTGCCAACAGGGGAGACGGGGTCTGACCTGGCCAGAGACCGGTCCAACCGATTTTGGAGCCAGGGAAGCTTCTTGCAGCCTCTTACAGGTGCTATCTCTACAGCTCCTCCCCTGCTACCAAAATCCCATCACATAAACCCAGCACAGAGATTCACAAGAGAACATTTAATTTCTGATTGTCAGGCTCTCAGAACTTCCAAAACTGAAAAAAACCCCATCAAAGATTTGCTGGAACTATGCACTTTTGCACCAAAACCTACTAGCAGGGTGCAAGTGACCTATGCAGGGATGCAAAGATTCATTCCAGCATTTGCTGGTGTCCTCGCCTTAGACTTGTTGCAATTTTGAAACAAATCCTTAAAGGAAGAACTTTCCACAAGCTTGCAGACACTTACTGAAGTCGTCATGTCTGAACTTCACCACTTAGTGATCACAAAAGGAACTGCACTTGATTTAAAAAAGAACTGCAAGCCCGGTTGATGTATTTTTCTATTCGTAGGAAATGCCCTTGTCAGCTTTAACCATTTTATTTTCTGCCAGAAAGATTGTCATGTTCCAAACCTTTCCAAACAGCCCTGCAAACCTGCTGCTACAGCAAACACCTTTCAATAAAGACTAAACTTTCACTCTTAGCAACAGTCAGGCAAAGGCTAGAGATGGCTATGACATCTGAAAAAATGCGTTGACTTCGAATTGTTTGCAGCATTTCCTATGTGGTGATAAGTCGCATATGCTGGCTGCTCCTTCCAGGCTCTGTCTCTCCCTGTCAGCTCCTGATGCTGCAGGGAGCCCTGGGCATGTGGGGACCTCCTTCCCAGCCCACATGCCTGTATGTCTGCATGCACGTCCGACTGCTGCAGCATCGCTTTCTGACCCCTCTTCCTCCAGGGACCAGCCAACACCAGCAGTGGATTCATTACTTTAAACATAAGGTAGACCAGAATGTGAGGTCTGCTCATTAACCCCACCACTTCTTTCAGGTTTGTGAGTACATCTTTATCTCCGTTTATTCAGGCTTTTCCTGATCTGTTTGTCTTCACAAAGACTTTTGGTGGATTACAGACCTCCTCCTGGCTTGTCGGTCAGATCTCATGCTGTCCTGCTTCAGTCGCACAGCGGCTTCCTTGCTGAGAGCTGCACATAACGCCTGAGCTTCAGGCACTTTCTGAAGCACAGTGAAAGCTCGGGAATAAATTAGGCAGAAGATAATTGTGCAACCACTGCTTGAAAAACAGTGATTCACGTTCTTCCCTTCCTTTTTCTCTGCACTAGGATGGTCGCTCCAGTTCCCAGTAAATCCAAAAAGGACTTACAATGATTGCGCACAATCATTAATTAAAAGATTTCCAGACAGCCTGAGTGACTAACAGTGTTGATAAATGACATAGCTGGACTTTCGGAAAATGTTGCTGACCGGAGTCACTCGGGTACAATTGTAGATTCTGCTCCTGCAATCAGACTAAAAACTTGTTTTTTCCACCATCCAAACCTGGGTGAACAAGTGGGTAGCTGCCTACCTTGTCAGTAGGATTCAGTGCTGCCTCTTAAGGCATTGCTTGTAAATAGAGCAAAAAAGAGGGAGATGGTTTCATCCACTGCCAAATTTTAGTGACTTTTGGAGGTTGGTCCTTCAGTACTAGTAGTAGATGCCACTATTGGGAAGCAGCTTGTCAAAGGCAATTGAAGTGACACTGTATAACGTGCCCATAAATAATGCCTGCATACGGCAAATCTCCCTACGTCTCGGCTGGATTTGGAGAGCCACGGTACACTGGTGTGAAGATGGCAGCTGCATCTACTGCTGCACGGTCCAGCCTGTGTCGCTGCTTCAGGATGGGCTGCAGCAGACCGACCGTCAGCAGCCAAGGGATGCTGCAGGACCAGGAGATGGTCGTTCGGGCAGAGTTACAGACAAAGTGTCACATTCATGCACGAGTTTTAGATCAGACATCACGAGGGTAGTTTGCACGCAGCCGTGAATGTTTATCCTGGGTCGTGTTTGATTTGGAGATATTTGACTTGTGATCTCTTCCTAAATTGGGCTCCCTCCCTCCGCTACCACGCTGCCATCAGCTGCAGTAAATGTGGCTCTGAAATCTAGTGTGGGGCTGCCTAGCAAGGGCCAAAGAGAAACAAAGGAGGGGGACTGCTTAGCTGAGACCCAGCTCCTGGTGGAGTACACTTACCTGCAAAACCACATGTTACTGGGGTTGTGAACATGTTGTGAAACTATCCGGTTAACCGCCCATCACTTCTCACCTCTGCGTTTTGAGGAAATTGCT